TGACTTCAGTAGCATTGTGACGTCATCAGGATTTCCATTCTTGCAGTATTATCTAACTCCAAAGAAAATTCAAACTTTAGAAATTATAATTTACATCAGTATAATAAACCATTTATCCCATGGTTGTGAGTGGGATAGCTCTTTCATCAAACCCTTGACAGGAACTATTCCCCTAAGCCCTAATAATATATGTTCATTTGATAAAAGAGCTATCCCACTCACAACCATGGGATAAGTGTATAATGTTTCATGGGTGGGGTAAATTCCTGGCTCCGCCTCTCCAGGTATGAAATTTACTAACCAGTATCATCCCATACCCTGTCACTAAAAGACTATGTAACTAATAATATATGTTCATTTAAAGACCGACCCGCTTTTTATAAGAGTAAGGGTCAAATAAGTAAATGTAGTACGTATAGTGGGAAGAAAATTTAAATTTGATTCTAAAGGAGTTGAATCTAACTCAAAACCCACCCCGCCCCCGAAATAGGATTTCATTGGCGTCGGAAGCTAATTGAAAGTTGGGGGGGGGGGCGTAATTATATAAGAAATTTTTAGACCTTCAAAAAAACCTGACAAGCAAAAAAATAAAAAAAAGAAATGTCTATTTTCCAAACACAAAAATCCTATTTCGTGAGGAGGGGTGGGGTGGGGGTAGGTTGAAGGATCGAACTCCAGTGCCAAAGTTTTTTTTTTCCAAATGCCACCACTTTCCCCATTTTATACCTTTACTGCATCGTGTCCATGGAAAGTGGGGGGGGGGGGGGGGGGCTAAAGCTACGCAGGAATGTTCAATGTCTATACTAAGTCTATCTTTGGAAAGAAGTGGGGGCTAAGCCGCCCCTCCCTCTGCCCCGGTTCCGACACTTATGTATTTTCAAGTTTGGACAATTTCCTGGGGTTTATTTTGCGCTTGTCAAGTTGTTTGCAGTCGGGTAGCTTGAATATTTATTCTCTTGTTACCCCCCTCCCCACTTTCAAAAACGATGCTACGTCACTGTTCTCTCGCCTGAAACTGAACTTTATTTCACGACAGATAGTAACTGCTGATGCGCGTGATTCTAGGGACAGGGCTTTGCAAAGGTGTGAGGAGCGTTATGGGTAGGCAGGCGCGGATCCAGAAATTTTCCAGGGGAGGGGGCAACCCAGTCAAAAAAAAATCCAATCCCAGAAATTTCTTGACAAGCATAAAAAGAAGAAAAAACCTAAACTTGCTCAAACGTCAAAATTCTATTTCATGGGGGGGAGGTGTTTAACTTCTATTCCTCGTTTTAGTAACCTTGTTTATTCGAAGGGGTTCTACCCCCCCCCCCCATCTAGATCCGCGCGTGGAAGGCGAAGTCGGAACCAGACTACATGTACCCAGGCATACTAGAAACACCTCGGTTTTTTTTCCTGCGTTAATATTTTATACTAAAATAGCACTTTTCAATAAAGAAAGAAACATCTTTAATACGCACCGTCTTTGTCATCAACCAGGAGAGCTAAAAAAAAATCTTAAAACTCGAAAATTCTATTTGGTGGTGGTGAAGGGGGGGGGGTCGTCAACTTTTTTCAGTAATAAATTCTACTCATATGCCACTAAGTACATGACTTTTAATATATAAATTGACTACTCAGTATTAGTACTGCAACAAAAAGTGTAAGGGATGGGGGCAACAAGCCTTTTGCTGAACTTTTCCAGTAGTAAAAAGTTACGTTTAGGTAAATGTTTCGTGGCCACCCTCCCCTCTACCGATGAAACTTACCCCATAGGAGGTCGTCCACCCGAACGTCAGTATATATATATATTGAGACTTTGGTGGTGTGATTGTACATTGTATAATTTCCTTTTCAAGAATTTTTCACTCAAATGGAGAAGCCACCTCTTGCCGGTGGAGAGCTGCAAATTTGTCCTACGAGGCACTTATAGCCATTGAGCAGTGAGGGATCTTTTTTCGTGCCAGCACCTACTGCGACACGGGACCTCGGATAATACGGTCTAGGTCTTATCCGTAGGACCGAATTCCACATCCTATGGTGGGATTCGAACCCACGACGTATTGGTCGACTCCTTACTGTACTTCGTGACTCTATAAAGAGCAGACGCCGTAACCACAGTGCCAAGCTGGCGACTGCGTCCAAGGGGGGGGGGGGGGGAGAGTTATTATCCATATGTACTCGTGAAGATTATCTATGTTTAACTAAATGGTTAAAATGATTTAATTATAAAACACTATTAAAATGATATTATTTAAATATTTATTCATACAGAACCAGGACCTAAATCTACTAGTATATAGGTCCCTGATAGAACGGATAACTTTTCTTCAAAAACTGAAAACGTTAGTATATATAAACATTGTTTTACGATTTAAAAAACTATTCGGGGGAAGGGGTTGATAGGAAGGGACGAATTGCTATATATAGCGAAATTTCCCACGGAAGACTATATTGAAACTTCCCCGGGGGAGTCCCAATGTATAGTCTTCCACAGGAAGCATCCCTATGTAGTCAGTCTTCCAGGGGAAATCTTACCATCTAGCGAGACTTCCGAGGGAATGGTACGTATCGGGTACATACCTGAACTTATAACAAACATCAGTCTTTTAAAAATTTAAGTTTGATTAATGAAGTATTAAGACAGAAAATTGAAAAAACTCGAATAACCCCGGCCCGGGTTTGCTTACCTAATTTTACCAACACTCTTAGCGAACACCCATGCCACCTAGCGTTATAATGCGGCACTAAATTCGGACAACTTGTATTCGTCTTCATTGAATATGCTTCATTGTTTGCGTAATTGAGTTAACGTTCGTAATAGTTATAATCATTTAAGAAACTGTATCAGTTTAAAGTTTAAAAGAACGTAAAATGAATTTACAAGAATAAAGCAACATAGAAGTAAGGGCAAAATGAAGAAGGATAAAAGTCAAAGTGAAATGTAATGAAGACGAATATGAAAACAATAAAGTGACATATAATTACAATAATAACAAAGCATAAAGAAGTAGGCAGAATAAGAATAAAAGCAAGATACATAGACTTTTGGCGGTAATTCCCTTCCATAAACTGCATATTCTTTTTCTTTAAGACATACTCATGCTTGTTGTCAAATACAAAGAAAATACTTTTTACAGGATTCACGTACAACTACAGGGCTTACAAACCCAGGCAGAGCTTCCCATCAACTGACGGTTGTAACAGGTGTACGTGTGGAACGGATGGGCGTGTCAGCTGCACAGAACGAGCATGTATAAGGCGTAGGTATACAATAAGATGGACGTGTCAGCTGCACAGAACGAGCATGTATTAGACGTAAGTATACAATTAGATGGGCGTGTCAGCTGTACAGAACGAGCATGTATAAGGCGTAGGTATACAATAAGATGGGCGTGTCAGCTGCACAGAACGAGCATGAAGTAGACGTAAGTATACAATTAGATGGGCGTGTCAACTGCGCAGAACGGGTATAAATAAGGCGTAGGCATACAATTAGATGGGCGTGTCAGCTGTACGGAACGAGCATGTATAAGGCGTAAGTATACATTAAGATGTGCGTGTCAGCTGTACACAAAGAGCGTGTATAAGGCATAGGTATACAATAAGATGTGCTGTACAGAACGAGCATGTATTAGGCGTAGGTATACAATAAGATGGACGTGTCAGCTGTACAGAACGAGCATGTATTAGGCGTAATTATACGATAAGATGGGCATGTCAGTTGCACAGAACCAGCTTGTGTAAGGCGTAGGTATTCAATAAGATGGGCATGTCAGCTGTGCAGAAGGAGCATGTTTAAGGTGTAGGTTTTCAATAAGATGGGCGTGTCAGCTGTACACAACGAGGATGTATAGGGCATAGGTATACAATAAGATGGGCGTGTCAGCTGCACAGAACGAGCATGTATAAGGCGTTGGTATACATTTAGATGGGCGTATCAACTGAACGGAGAGACCATGTATTAGGTATACTAAAAAGTAGTACGTGAAGATCTAAAGTGCCTGTCACTCGTGCTGGAAGAACGTAAGAAGTGTATGTATACAATAGTAGTACTAGTATATGTGGAGCAGATTGGTGTGCCAAATACTTGTAAGCACGTACAGTAGGAGAAGGCATACAAAATTTAGACAAATTATCTTTAAAAAATTACTTCAAATTGACCAAATTTTAAATGCTATATCAAGTGGATAAAAAAAACAATATTGAATTATGCATACATTGTATTAAGCTAATGTAAACCACTGTGTTTCGTAAATTAACATAAATTAGAAGCAGGAAATTTCAGTGATTTGTAGAAAAATATTGTTTTCAATGGAGTTGATTTCATGGTTGAAGAAATGCTAATTCATAGTTTTGTTTTCGAAATTAAGGAGTTCGTTGAGAACATGCAATGATTGTAGATTTTCTAATACCACCAACGCTTAAGGAGTTATGCCCATACAAATAAAAGTAGTTTTTAAGGTAGAATACATGAAAGTCAGTGAATTGATTGTAGATTTTCTAATAATAATTATTCATAATAGTTAACCTAAATCATTTATACTCAGTTCCTTTAAACGGTGTAAATTGAGAAAATTCTATCTCTTAACATATAAGTCTTTTAATTGTACAGAAATTTTAGATGCAGAATTGTTAAAAACATTTAATTGATATTTTGTTTCATTAAAAAATATTTTCAAGGGCAATAATGGAACAATAACAATAAATGCGTGTTATTTTACATGCAGAGAAAACAATTTGATATTCTGGTTTAAAAAGCAACGCTTCAGTATGTTTTCTAATGAGAATTAGATAAGTATGAGAGTAAATATTATTTTTATATATACCTCATATTTAAAATTTAATTGTGAGATAAAAAATAATTGATCTTTCTATTTACCGTATCAAATTTTCTTCACATCATGATTTGACATATTATTCATTTCTGAAAAAGTGAGCAACGCTTCATACTTCAAACTATTTTTCATTTGAATTTGATTGAGAATTTTTATGTGATTTTAGATATGCATTCCAGGATGGTGACTGAAGCTCATATTTGTAAATACCTATATGCCTAGAAAGGACTCCAAAACAGATTCTTAAAGTTTAACCAGTATAATCCTGAATATGGTAATACTTTTAATTATAAAGGAATCAGATTTTCTGATCATATTGCTTTTAGACTTGCAAATACTACATGTAACTTGAAGCTTTTCATGTAAAATTTGAAATGCAATCAAGTTTGACGAATTTCACACTACTAAGAGTTATCTCCCCTTGTCGGCATAACTCTCATTTTTCCCACTTTGTCCATTGTAAGTTACCTGATATTATTTTCAATCTTCAAACGTTATTGGACTATTTAGATCTGTACCGGTATTGCCGAAGTTTGGGGCAACATGAAAATCTTAATGAACGATATTCATTACAGATTTTATTTTTAAGATACTGACCAATAAATTTGGTAAGGTTACAGAGGGAAAAACAGGGCCTTATGCTGGATTGACCCCGCAACGGGGAATAACTTTTGTAAATTTAATGTGAAAGTTGTTTATTTTTTTTAACATATATTTTTTTTAACCTCAAGGACAAAAAGTATACACTTGGAACACACACAAAAACAGATGAGTCCATGCCAAGCTAAAGATTAATGCAGATGGTAGTTAGTTCAATTTTTCATTTTGTAACTCTTGGTTTTATCCAGATCGGACCTTACATATAATTAAGTCAGCTTCAGTATATAATAGAAGAATATGGAGATAACGAACAGTATTCAATCTCAAAGTCCATAAAACTATACAAAATAAGAGCAGAGCAAACACGGAACCCCGAAACATCAGAGGTGGGATCAGGTGCCATAATAAAACACCTATTTACTTACTATTCGGAAAATAGCTTGTTTATCATCTCCCTCAACAGCAAACTATTTCCCTCAGCTGCATCTTGGGTAGTTGTTGTCTTGGGGGACGATAAACTAGCTTTTGTTCCTATAGCCAGTAAATAGGTGTACATGAATACTGTTTTTAGCTCCTCTGAGCCAAAGGCTCAAAGAGCTAATGCTATGGCCATTTGTGCGGTGTGCATAAACTTTTTAGAATGTGGGCCATAACTCAAGATCCCCTTGGACAATCATTGTCAAATTTTCACAGAGCATCCTTGGCCCAAGGGCTACCATTTATACTAAAATTAGGGTTTGGACCCTTATACAAGGGGAGATAAACAGGAAGATAAAACCAAAAGAAGTCTATATTGGCCTAGAATTGTTAAACTTTGTGAGTTGAGGCATCTAGGGTTTTTGGAGAATGTCGACCAAAAAGTAGGTCACCATGACCTACTTATGGTATTTTATAGCTCTATTGAAATATCTTCAGTCCTAACTGGCTAAGAATCATTATGGAACTTTCTTGGTTGATGTATTTTGGGTCTTATAAACATAGAGGCTTCAAATACTAGTGATAGATTGTACAATTTATTAGAAGAGCAATTCAATGCCCTTGGGTTTCCAGTTGTCCATCGTCATACACTGTGCTCTGTCTGGTAAAATTTTAGCATTTACAGCATCCTCCCAACACCGCCACCCAAACTAAGGGGGGGTTAACCCCATGGATTAATCTAGGTTTTTGGGGAAACTACCCTTTCTGGAGAAATTGGGAAAATGAGCCGAGGTATGGGAACCACTTGAGCTAGTGCAGGGCAAGCCCTGCTTTGAGGCTAATTGACTTACATCATTTTTATGACCATTTAAAATGCATGAAGTAGCAAATTAAAACCATATTTCTCATGTAATGAAAATTTTACTTTAAATTTTCAGTTTTTATGAAAGAAAAAGAAATATTTGAGGTAAAGTAAGGGGAATATTTTACTCATCAAAAGGGAAAAAAATAGATCTTCAGGGGAAATTTTCTGTAGGGGAAAAACACCCATTATCGGTAGTAAATATGCCCTAGATTAATCCCTGAACCCATCAAAATTATTCAAAATTGTATTTTTTTGATTGGACATCAAGCAAACTATTAGCAAGATTTTAATAAGCATTGAGTCCTACTAAAATTATGAAATTCATATAGCCCCAGGGTAGGTGGATCAGATGTAAAGGCACAGCTTAATTAATTAATCATAAACTGAAAATGCATTGATTCATTGAAAATCTATAGAATGCTCCTAAGTTGAAAGCAAAAAGACTAAGTTCATGACAATGAGGAATAAGTTTTATACCCCTGTAATCAAAGATTCTGGGGTACATCTATATAGCTTTTGCCCTAGGCCTGTCTGTCTGTCTGCAAAATCTTTTCACATTGGCCATATTATTTTAGTGGGTGAAAGTATGGCCTTCATATTTCACAGACCTGGGTATTCATTGTGACAATACTTTTGTATTGGTACACCAAATTAACCTTTAGAATTGAACTTGGATTGTGACTAACTTTTAAGAAAGTTTCATAACTTGAATCTTGGCCATAACTTTTGAACAGTTGGTGCAAGGGCTTTCATACTTCACTTGTATATTTACTGTGACAAGACCTTTCAATGGGTATAAATTAAAATATTTGACGTTGAACTTCTAGTTTAACCCACTGTTTAAAAAAAATTAACTTTGATCATAACTTTTGAGCTGGTAGTAGTAGGGCTTTCATATTTCACAGATTTATTCCTTGTGACAAGTCCTTCCTTGGATGTCAACAATTTGACCTTTGACCTTGACTTTGGAGTTTGACTTACACTTGGGAAACTTTAACCATAAGCTGGCATATGGAGTATTAGTATGTACAAACACATCTTTTTTTCCGAGTTCACGCACAAATCAATGCTATGTAATGAATTTTAGATAAGAGAATTACAAGGTAAATATTTGAGGATATAGTGAAAAAAATAGTTTAAAAGATCATGGTTTTGAATACTAAGAAATTAATTATTTAGTATTTATATTTAAGTTATACAGTGAATCAACCAGGATTAATATCAGGATAATAATAATGTTCAGGGGAAAAATGGGTTTTTCCCTTATTCCATGCATCTAATATTTTCTTTTTCTTTACAGGCAAAAGAGAACTGGAGAAAAATGAATTGATGTTAACACACTCTACATTAAATTTGGTTTAAATCTAAATATGTCTTTTGTTGTGATTGCTTCAAGAGCAATTAAGGATCAGGAAATTTAAAGTGAAGGATAACCAGAAAGTGGATCATTCAACAGATGAAAAGAAAATATGCCTTTGAGGAAAATTATGTCAAATGCATGAATTGAATATTTAAATTTCACGTAATTTTTGTTTCACCAACGTTTACAATATGTGAAAAAAAATGTTCAAAACATGTGTTTAACCATGGTTTGACACATTTTTGTATGGTATTCATACATTTACTATATGAGCAGTACAAATAATAAACCCATTAAACATGTTATGAAAAACATATGTTACACACACGTTGCACGTACGTTATTCATATGTGAAACGTTTGAATAACATACGTGTGCAATATATGTGTAACGTTTGGTGGGCAATACGTACGTTTAACATATGTGACACGCATGATATTCACACGTGTGAAAACGTATGTATAACATACGTGGTATCTTTTTCATGGAAAACGTACGTGAAGTCACGTACGTGTCACATACGTTTAACATACGTGAAACGTACGTGGCACAATTAGCTGTGTAAGTGTCTGTATAAAACGTAAATAAAGTAAATGTTGCTGTGACTCTAATGGACGTGTATTCTGTACACTAAGTGTCTGTATAAAACGTAAGTAAAGTAAATGTTGCTGTGACTCTAATGGACGTGTATTCTGTACACTAAGTGTCTGTATAAAACGTAAGTAAAGTAAATGTTGCTGTGACGCTAATGGACGTGTATTCTGTACACTAAGTGTCTGTATAAAACGTAAGTAAAGTAAATGTTGCTGTGACTCTAATGGACGTGTATTCTGTACACTGAGGGCCTGTATAAAACGTAAGTAAAGTGAATGTTGCTGTGACTCTAATGAACGTGTATTCTGTACACTAAGTGTCTGTATAAAACGTAAGTAAAGTACATGTAAATGTTGCTGTGACGCTAATGGACGTGTATTCTGTACACTTAGTGTCTGTATAAAATGTAAGTAAAGTGAATGTTGCTGTGACTCTAATGGACGTGTATTCTGTACACTAAGTGTCTGTATAAAACGTAAGTAAAGTAAATGTTGCTGTGACGCTAATGGAGATGTATTCTGTACGCTAAGGGCCTTATAAAACGTAAGTAAAGGAAAGCATCAGATCATTCAAATGAAGCAATTGGCATAAAGCACATAAAAAGACACTTTGAAACCCTTATAAACCCCTAGTGTATTCATAATAATTATTGAAACTTGTTATGGAAGATTTCAGCAAATTGTGATCGAATTTATTAAAACTTGAATTGATACAAGTTTGTACACTGGGGGAAATATATTCTAGGAAATTCCAGGTGCCAAAGAGAAGTAAACGTCCTCTGTTGACTATACTCACTAATCACGATATGTTTTATTCCTATTTTCCAGCTGCTGATCCCAGAGGTGGGATCAGATGCCTAAAAGGAATAAATATCCTCTGTTGACTGATTTCGTCCGTCATAAGCCCTAATTTTGCATTCTTTTTGCTACTCCTAGAGGTGTCTGTTCCCAACCAAAGGCTGTCGGTCCTTGTAAGGGAGCATTCCGACGTTGATTGGTTTCACCCATCATTTTCCCAAAATTTGATATATTTTTTAGCTACATCCAGAGGTGTCTGTTCCCAGCCTAAGGTTGTAGGTCCCTGCAGGGGAGCATTCAGACGTTGGTGGTATAACAAATCGACCAAACGATGTGAACTATTTTCTTACGGCGGATGTAGAGAAAAACAAGAACAACTTCAGGACAAAATTCGCCTGTCTCATCCGTTGTAGAAGGGGATATTGTGAGTCACATTTCCTTGAAAAATCTGCTCATGTCAGTATTTTACCTCACTATAACATAACGAATTTTAGGGAGCTGATGTGTCTCAGGTTAAGGTCTTGGAGCAGTTTTCCTTTGTAAGAACTTCATTTCCCTATATTCATCAGGCATGCTTCCAGTGTGTTGCATTGTACCATATAAGTTTTAGATGCTGGATGCCACTTACATTTTCAGAATGAGTCGAGTAAGCAAGTTTTTAGTGCAGAAACTGTTAGGCTTATTATTACCAAACTTACATGGATGATAAGGATCCATACTACCAGGCTTGTTCCAGATGCTTGATCTGACCTATATTTTTTGGATGTTTAAAAAGGTTAGATTTTAATGCAGGTCTAATTTCAATGTAAATACGAGCAATATTAATGCAGGTTTAATTTCAATGTTACTATGAGCAATATTTTAAGCTAACTTGCATGAATGATACATCTAAGGCAGCACATTATTGCACTTACGTCAGTTGCTGAATCTGACTTACAATTTCCAGATAATTGACAAGGCAAAAGTTATGGGTGCAGGTATATCCCCAGAAAACTATAAAACATATAAAATGCTGGATTTGAATAGCATTTTCTTGATGGGCGACTCGTCTGAAGGATTTGGATAAGTCTATTACCAAGTAACTTTAAGCCCTCTCAGATCAAAATTGCATATATTGTGCATTTTGGAATGTAAATTCTAGGGTTTTAGTAATTAGAGTAACTATCAGTAATTAGAGTAACTATGCAAAATGACCCATTTGCGCGCAAAAGTTACAAAGATATATATGTACTTTTGTAAGAAGAAATCAGGTCTGACTTTGGCAAATATGGTCAAAAAGATCCCAAAAAGGTACTGCAGATTTTTAATTGTTCATATCATGACCCCCAGGGGGCAGGGTTGGGGCCACAACAGGGAATTGAAGTTTAACATTGAATTATTTAGGACAAACCTTATAAAATTTCTTATCATGAACCACTGGGTCAGGAAAGCTGAAACTTATGTGGAAGCATCCTGGGGTAGTGTATACTTTAAATTTTCCTAAGCATGATCCCATGGCATTAGATTAGGCCACAGCAGGTATTACAATGGGGGGGGGTGTAAAGAAAAGCATAGCCAAAGTTACTATCGAGAATTTTTCACTCATATGGAGACGCCACCACTTGCCGATGGAGAGCTGCAAATTTTTGTCCTATGCTCGGCACTCAGTGTCATTAAGCAGGGAGGGATCTTTTTCGTGCCAGCACCTACTGCGACACAGGACCTCGGTTTATACGGTCTCATCCGAAGGACCGGTCTTCACGTCCCACAGTGGAAGCATGCGGCGAAAAAATGAATGTAAGATGTTGGCACAGAGTTATAAAAGTAAAGATTTTGGTTGTTAATTTAATACGAAGTCAAAAGCAGAAAGTTTAAAAATCTAAAAGTACTAT